TCACATGAGAGATTTTTTTTTTTCCTGCTTTCAGGTTGACAGAAAGGAGGGTCAGATTGTCCCTCGTGTGTTGGCCATTTCTTAAGTAACTTTATTCAAAATAATAAATATGCCATCGAGGCACATTTAGGGGCAGCCTACTCTGGGCCCCAACAGTTACAGCAACCTTGGACAGTAAAAAGCTGTACTGTTACTGTCATATTCTTACAGTGAAGGATACTAAGACTCAGAGAAGTTCAGGCATATACCTGAGATTGCACAGCTCTCGAACTTGGCCCCAGGACACCCCCCCGCCCCGCCCACCACCCCCTGGCAGGTGGACTTCAGAGCCCATCAGCTGTCAGCTGGGAAGGCAAGAAAACTCTCCCTGGGGCTGCCATCCCTGTTGCGATGGCCTCATTGGGCCCTTTCAGCTGATTGAACTTGAGTGTCACACCCAATCAGTGATCCAGCTTTTACCAACTTGGGCCTCACTTTTAAAAATAAGTGTTTCATCCAGTCCAGCCCTGAGATTTAATAGCCGATATTGTATGCACATTAAACACCAAATGATTGTTAACATGTTTATTGAAGCTTAACAGGCATCCAGTATATAAAAGATGACTCTCTTATATGGCTGTCAGACCTCAATAAACATGTTTAATAATTAATTGGCATTAAGCAAACATAATTGTGTGATTCTAAAATAAGTGTTCGGCGAAGAGTACTGTGAATGGAAAACCTCAGTGGTGTTTTATTACTTAAAGTTCAGGCTGTCAGTCTGGCTTTTCACATACGAGGAAAAGCGCCCCACTTTCAAAGCCGTGTTGCAGACCTCCTGTTGCCTCATGCCAAAAGCGGCACAGGCCTTCTTGTTCCTAAACCGTTTCATCTGAGAAATGTTTCTTACTTGGTTAGCTGTTTGTCTTTCTGTGTATTCACCTGTTGTTCTGAAAGTCCTGAGCCAAGACTGTGATGTGAAAGATGTTTTCACATATCGGCTTTCAGGTAAATTAACCAGTTCTGACATAAACTCCGTTCCCCCGCAGTACAGCCGATTCTTGACATTTACTATAGTTACATTCTCTAAAATCACTGCAAACACTGAATTAGGGAATATTGAACCATTGTTCCTAGGGAAAATAGGAGATTAGGTTCCTCTGAGCCTCTGGTCACAATATTTTTGTCACCTGATCAATATATAACTGTTTTATACGTGTTTCTGTTTAAAGTCACCTTATTTAATTTATATTGTTAATTCTTTAGCATTGAACTCACAGCCAATAGCACTGTAACTCGTGCCTGAAGGAAGCTCATCTAACACACATATATTCTCTGTAAGGCACATCATGGTCTCTTGTGCTCAGGAACACGAGACAACACTCCAGCACTGCACAGGAGGGCCATTCTAAATGGCAAAACACCAACAGAAAGCACAAAAATGTGAAAAAAAGAAAGAAAGAAACCATGAAAAGGACACTTGTTTACAGTATGAGCTAAAACAAGAAAGCAGAACATTGCCTTGTTCGACTTTAGCTGGGAACGTTCCTGTGGGATGCTTCCCATTTTTTGCAACTCCGTGTTTATCTGCACATGTCTCCTCATGATGCAAAAGCACCATGAATGCTGATTTCGAGACTACAAATAAATTTGCACTAGGCAAGTATACAAATTCAGAATCCTTGAGCTTTGGAATGGGGATTCCATTAAGCATGGCCATCTGTGTACCTGAGTGCCATGTGTCCCCTGCTAGGCCTTTGTACAAGCTGTTCCACCTGCCTGGAACGTTGTGTGCTGATCCTAGTGATGCGTTTGCTCATAGTAGATGCACGATAAATATATGTCCGGTTCATCTGACTAGTTTTCAAATAAGGACCCCAAATATATGTCATTTGCAGGAATAAAGACACAGACCTACTAGAGAATGGACTTGAGGATATGGAGAGGGGGAAGGGAAAGCTGTGACAAAGCGAGAGAGAGGCATGGACTACCATGCCACTACCAAACGTAAGGGAGATAGCTAGTGGGAAGCAGCCGCATAGCACAGGGAGATCAGCTCGGTGCTTTGTGACCGCCTGGAGGGGTGGGATAGGGAGGGTTGGAGGGAGGGAGACGCAAGAGGGAAGAGATATGGGAACATATGTATATGTATAACTGATTCCCTTTGTTATAAAGCAGAAACTAACACACCATTGTAAAGTAATTATACTCCAATAAAGATGTAATATATATATTTATATATATGTCATTTGAAAATGCTCTTTACTTTTCAGTAGTCATCATTTCCTGCACAGTTCATTGCTGTTATTTATTATTCCTATATAGTTAATATTCTACCTTGGCTTTTAACTTTCTCACCTGCCCCTAAATCCTTAGGGATTTGAAAAATAAAGCCATTCTCTCTATTGGCAACAAATCCCTTAGGGTCCACGCAGGAACGAGGAAGAGCATACCCCAGCAGGTATTCCTGGATGGGTTGGATCTGTGTGGCAGCAAAAAACTGTCCCCAGGATTTCATCCATATATGAAGCCCATCTGCACACACCCTACAGGGAGGTGGAGGAATCAGTCTTACAACCTCTTTCGAAGAAGCATCAGGAAGCAGTGCTGTAAAGTTAAAAAAGCGCTTTTTAATGGCCACCTGCTTGGCACTGATGGGCATGTAGGGGATGCTCTGGGACCACTGGACCTTCCTGGAGTCTCTAACATAGTTTCCATCATGGCCCTACTGGAAAGTTTGGAGCTGCACATGGAGCTCGCCCCCAGAGACTGGGAAAGCCAAGGGTTCTGCAGGGATGCTTTGGAAAATTACATTTTTAGGACTAGAATTTAGTTCCTAGGGATTTAAAAACATTTTTTTTTTCTTTTTTTTTTTTTTTTTTTGCGGTACGCGGGCCTCTCACCGTTGTGGCCTCTCCCGTTGCGGAGCACAGGCTCCGGACGCGCAGGCTCAGCGGCCATGGCTCACGGGCGCAGCCGCTCCGCAACATGTGGGATCTTCCCGGACCAGGGCACGAACACGTATCCCCTGCATCGGCAGGCGGACTCTCTACCACTGCGCCACCAGGGAAGCCCTAGGATTTAAAAACATTTTAAAAGTACGTTAGGAAAGTCATGTATACTCATTTTAAAAGTTAGAAAACAAAGAATGGATAGCATACACAGTCTTGCATCACCTAAACTTACACATTTAAGGGTTTTACTGTACTTGGTAATTTTTTTCTTTTGTATGTGGGTTCTTAGTATAATTTCAATCATACTGCATATTTTTTTTTCGGCTGTGCTGCACGTCACGTGGGATCTTAGTTTCCCGACCAGTGATCAAACCCGTGCCCCCTGCACCCCCTGTATTGGAAACTCGGAGTCTTAACCACTGGACTGTCAGGAAAGTGCCTTTATTTAAACATTTTTTTAAAATATTTATTTATTTATTTTCTGGTCGCACTGTGTGGCTTGTGGGATCTTAGTTCCCTGACCAGGGATTGAAACCAGGCCCCCAGCTGTGGAAGCATGGAGTCTTAACCACTGGACTGGCAGAGAAGTCCCCAAACTGCGTATTCAAGTTAGTTTTCTGCTTTTTTTCCCACTTAGTATGGCAGCATCTGCATGTCCGTGGTACTACGTAGTTCACATCAACCTCATTTTAAGCAGCTGGAAACTTGCTGTTTGATTGATTGATCAAACAATCAATTGCTAGCCATTCCACTATTGTTGGACATTGTTTCTTTTTTTTTTTTTACTCTTTCTATAAATAACAGCACAGTCTACTTTTTTCTTTTTTCCTAGAGCTAGTCCATGTCTGGGATTATTCTTAGCCCAGATTATCAGAAGTAGAGTTACTACATCATCATTGGATAGGGACTTTTTTTTTTTTTTTTTGCTTTTTAAAACTTTATTTCAACATAACCATGGGTACAGAAATACACTCATATGGGTTAATAGAATGCAATTTAACTTATACTACACAATTTGGACCAAAATCCTGGTACATGGTTTGCTTCAAAAAAAAAAAAATGGGATTTGCAATCTGGTTTATTTTTCATCTATTACAAATGTATACATATATAAAAAGATCCTCCATCAAATGCTGCTAAAGCAAACAGCAAGAACCTAGAGAAATTAACCTTTGGTTTGTCTCTGAAAAGTAACAGGTATTGCACTGTAAAACTTTACAAAACTGGAGCAACAAGACATTGTAATGTTTCAGTGCCAGTTCACAGAGTTCAGTAACTAATGGATGTTGATGAGGGTGAGGAGAGCCTATGTATACATGTGAAAATATAAAAGGTATCCGATCTAGTTAATATTGCAGGTAGATCCCGAATCTACTCAAACCAAGATTCAGATAATTTCTTAAATCTGAATTAACACTGTCAGTCCAGTTCATCTGCTGAGGTCAGAAAGGAAACTCTGCACAGTAGCTGTTTTCCTGAGTTGTGCAAAAAAGAAAATTAAGTTTCTTCCCCAGCATTTTAGTCCAGAACTACAGCAAAGTATTTCATCCATTGTCAATATTCATGGGGTGAGAGACGATGAGGTTACTTAGGCTTAAATCTGAATTAGCACTCAGATGCAAGAGTCAGATAGGGACATTTTTAAGGCTCTTGATAACATAGCCTAATTGTTAAGAATGTGGGAGCATGCCCATCTTAGCAGATACTTTACAGCATTGTGTTATCATTTTTTAATCTTTGCTAAGTTTAAAAGAGACACAAAGTTTTTTTCCTCACTATGGCAGGGCTAAACAGGCTATCCCCCTTCAGATGCCCAGGCCTGTGTTCCCGTTAGCCTTATAGGTGTATGTGTGCACACATGTGTCTGTACATACAATATGGATTTTTAAATTTTTTTTAATTAATGATATTGGCAAGAAATTTCTTTGTCTTGTGCCTTTCTCCAGTATTTCTTGGAAAATCTTAACTTCCAACACTTTCTGCCTAGTATGCTTGGGGTTTCGTTTGGATCTATTCATTTTAACTCTCTCCCTCTCTCTCTTCTTTTTCTACCAATGGAAAATGCAGCTCTTGAGAATGACAATTGCCAAACAGAGGCTGGGAGACGAAGAAATCGGCGTGCGGCACTTTGCAGCCCATGAGCGTGAAGATTTGGTCCAGCAGCTGGAGAGAGCAAGGGAACAGGTTATCGCCAACATCTGTTATGAGTGGGGGATATGTTTGCACAGCTAAGCATGACACAGAGAAGAGTAGACTGTGCCCCAGTTTCTCAGAGACTGTGGGGTGCTTGGAACGCGGTTAGAGGAGGAAGGAAGATGCAGTTTGAATGCATTTACTCCCTCTGTTCTCTGCTAGGTTCCCAAGCAGCCTTTTGCATTTCTGTCTTCCAGCAGGTCTGCTCTCTTACTTTGGGTGCCATTGTTCTGAACACAACAAGAAACCTCCCCCATAACCAGGATAGACAGGGAGAGAACAAACATGACAGACTGGCCTTAATTTGCAAGTTTCCGCTGAAATGCTGAGTGGATGCTTTTTAGGCAAAATCTCAACGGGTACCGAGCCCTAGTTAGGGAACAGCTTAGAGAGCCTAGACTTCGTTTTTCTCCTCTCACTAATTGGTTTTGAAGAGCAGAACATGATTTCTGGGTCTAGAGTGGTTTGAAAAAGTATGTATTTGTAAGACACTGGCTGTTGTTCCCAATATCTGGATTTGCCCTCTCCGAGCCCCTGGCTTTAGGGCAGGCTGCAGTTGGTAAGTGATCAGTTCTGTGTTTCCAAGCTGCTGCAATCCATCTCATCTTGGATATAGTAAGTGTCTGGCCGGAAGTTGTTCCTTGCTTTTAGCTTTTATCATATTCCGATGTGTGGCACTTATGGTTTTATAGCAGACGCTGGTATTAATAAGCTCTCTAAAAGTCAGTCAACCAAGTGGAAGGCTCGTCTCTAACCATAGAGCTGATGTCTGCAGAATACCTTGAGTAAGGGCACTTCTTTGGTTTCAGATTGAGTCTCTGGAGCATGACCTGCAGGCCTCTATGGACGAGCTTCAGGATGTTAAAGAAGA